GAATACGTCTTCTAAATAATTTATGTAAAAAACGTATTCCTTGAATACGTGTGTTTTATTTTGTTCCACACCTTTTTTTCTTTTTTTTTGTCCACTTATTTTTGTTTTTTTTTTTTGGTAAAAAATTCTGAACTCTGAGCGCATGTAGAGTGCGTAAAATGAGGTATTCATTTAGACCCGAGGGGGTGTAGGTATAACTGTATAAGTCTTCCTTATTCAACATCATTTTTTCTTTTTTTTTTTTCAGAGTTTTTTCCTTTTCAGTTCATAAAATTATTTCATTTACAAGTTTTGAAAAACAAAGGGTAACATATGATATGAATTAGTAGATAATGTTATTATACATCATAGGGGAAGTTTTACAGTATAATCATGGAAGGTACTAAAGAGGTGGCTCGAGAAGGCCTTGCCACGTCAGCTGCCATTGGTTCGGAACTTGATAAAAAAAAGCAGAAAAAGAAGGAAGAACAAGAAAGGCTCGATGAGGAAGGTGCAAGAATATCCGAGGCCGTTGCACTGCACGTTTTACTCAGTGAGGAGGACTCGGATGACTCATGTAATAATAACATTAATCTGGATAAGGATGATGACATCATCGTGGGTCGGCGACAATCTTTGATCCCTTTTTGTCATTTGTCTGAATATTCGCCAGTTGGGCAAATGGAGAATTACTGGAAAGATTCGAACTTTATGGTCTCGTCTGGTTCTTCTTATGTGGGGGACTTTTGTTGCTATCAGTTTTTTGGAGATGATGTTTGGGGCTCGATCAGTAATCTTACTGCTCGTGCAGAGACCTCACTGAAGATAGCTGATGATGATCGTGATTATGTGTTTAATCATTTTTTTGAGTGGGTGAGGGAAAAAGGAACAAACAACTATTAACTAAATAAAAACTTTGAACATTTACTGAATTAATTTGCTTCCAATAATTCTATACCCTTATATCATGATTCAACCAACAAAGCTAGCCTAATTCAGATCCCCCAAACATGAAAAATGAACGCTTTTGTCAGTCAATGAGAATTGTGGTGGTCCGATGTCGTACAATCAACAGTATCAAGACTGAAGCAAGCACAACACCCGAAAAAAAAAATCTACGGCTTAAATTCGAGAAAAAAATAGATTCAACCTTCATTATTCGATGTGGTAAATTGTTGTTGGCCATTGAATCGATCTGCCGAGCTATCTTCGTCTGCCGAAGAAAGAGGCCCCCGTCAGCCCCTTCAACCTCCCTCACCGATCTCGACCCTGGAGGTTAAATTTCGAGCAATCCCCTAATCGTCGCTTTTGCAGTTGAATCTCACCGTCGAGATTGCAAAATCAAGCCCCGAGAGCGAGATTTCAAACGATTTCATAGGCGGCTGATGGCTGTTAAGAATCAGGGTTATGGCAGTGGTTGTCGACGATGAGGCAAAAATTATCACAAGATGACGCCGACAGTTGACGGATAGAGCTGAGGGGTGTAGCGGTGTCGACGGCGCGTGCGTAAGATGTCGTGGATGTCGCCGATGGAAGAAGAGTTGTGGAGGAATGTTTGCTTTCTCTCTCAGGTATGTTTGGTTCAAGTAGGGGAAAGGGAAGGGGGTAATTTTCACGGAAGGGAGGTGAAGGGAGGGGAGGTGATGTAAAATAACTTTACTTTGTTTGGAGGGATTTTATAGGATGTGAGGGGGGAAATGGTAAACCTTGTTTGGTTAGAAAAGTGGAAGGGAAAGAAAATATTGTACAAATGACAATTATACCCTTAATGATGTAAGAAACAAAAAAATAAGATAATTTATATATTAAGGTCAAAAAAGTAATGTGATGCTAAAAAATTTCCCTCCCCTCCAAATTCTCCCACTTTTGGAGGGAGCACATTTTCCCTTGGATGAGGGAGTTGAAGGGAAAATCCAAGCCCTCCCTTTACAAAAAATTGCCAAACAAGGAAAAATAAAAAAATTCTCTCCCCTCCCTTCCTCTCACTTCCGTTTTCTCCGAACCAAACATAGGCTCAATTTGTTGGCGTATGAAATGCGTAAGTTTTGACCTACCTTTATTAATTATCAAAGTATACAGACCGACAGACGAAAAATTGCTTCTCCGGATGTGATTGTTGCGTGTTAGGAGACTATAGAAAATATAAATTGACAATATCAACCTCTTAAAGCACCGCATAGAACAACGTAAAATGTAGGGCATTTTTGTCATTTTATATCCAATAGCTCTCAAAAATCCGGCCTCTATCATTGAAAAAGCATAAAAAGTTGAATTACCAAAATATGTCCATAAATTGTACTGTAAGATAAAACTAAGTCGATTAGAGTCATTTAACTTACTAAGTGGTAAAATTGTAAATAAAATGGGACACGTGTCGCCTCGTAAGACAACTCAAATTGGACACGTGTCGCCTATTGAAGGCCACTAACTTCTTTATATATATACTAGTATTACACGGGTGCTTGTTAAAAAATTATTCTTAAATTTTAAAATTAATGAGAAAACTATATTAAATTTAGTTTACATTTTTACAAAAAAAAAAAAAAAATGTATTACTATATATTTTAGAATGATATGTGTTACTTATGACTTACATGTGTTATATTATATTATCTTTATAACTTATATCATATTACTACTTGAAATATAAATATAGTAGTTGATAAAAAATTTTATTTTTCTAATTAACATTAAAAATAATAATTATTGTTATAAAGACAAATATAAATTATTTTTTTATACATACAATATGGATGTTAAATCGAAGCTCATTAAAAGAAGATTAATTTGATATATTACATATGTAAAACTGATAAAAAATACAAACGTTATTAACTTTTAAAATATATATTCAATAGTTATAATAAGGAATGATATTAAAATGCAATTAATAATGTAACATGACCATAAATAATCAACATATTTATGGTAATCCGAACCTAATTATTTTTGATTTGGAATTAAATTAAAATTACCCAAGTCTAATAACGAAGCATGTAATTTTGCCACATAGGATTCCGAAGCACCAGAAGCAGCTACGTAGGCTCAGCGCGTTCTGAATTAATATATAAGGGGAATAATACTAGTTTGGCTCACGCCGTGCACGCACGGCGGACTAACACCCGGTATAAAACTACAGTGAAAATTTATCATAAGTTGTTGCAGCTTCTATTCTAGAAGCTGTTGCAGTTGTTCACATATATTGTGTCTTTTTTGTAAAACTAAATAAAAATTGAATTATACATAAGGATACAATACATTGATATCAAAATATGTAAATTTTTCCATTGCTGAATAAAGAAACCAAGGGGTAATAGTTATAAGACAGATAATTATGTAAAAGGGAAAATCAGAAACATAAAAATAAAGATGAAGGCGATGTCGCAACTGTAGAAGAAACATAGAATTAATTTTAAGACACCCAAATCATAAATCGCTTCTCCTGAAATGAAGGTGACATTACATCAAAAAGTCCTAAAGACATGAAAAAGAAAAAGATTCCAAATGCCTGATGAACAAATACATGCACCCGAATAAACGTGGAAAAAGAGAGAAGCGTGTTTTCACACCTTCTGTCGCATGTCCTGCAGAAAAAGAGCCAACTGCCGATATTCCAAGGAACATATATATGGTATGACATGCACCCGAATAAACGTGGAAATTGAGAGAAGCGTGTTTTCACACCTTCTGTCGCATGTCCTGCAGGAAAAGAGCCAACTGCCGATATTCCAAGGAACATATATATGGTATGACATGCACCCGAATAAACGTGGAAATTGAGAGAAGCGTGTT